TGTATAGGTACATAAGAAATATCTCTGTTGTTATTGTATTTAGAAGAATGCGGTTTTCGCGAACTTCGGCTACTTTTTTGTCAAACGAAAGATGGCGCCAATAGAATTGTCATTGATGACAACGGATTCTTATAAAATCTGTTTTTTTTTAAAGATAAAAGTCAAAATGACATTATGTTGGCAATGCAATGTAAAATTGTCAATGCTTTCAATTTTTTTATGTAGAAAAGGCTTGTGTTGCCAACAAAGTTACTAAATTTTTGACTTGGGGAATTATCTTAAAAAAAAAAACAGACTTTAGATATTTTTACTCGAAGTGATACTTTTCAAATTATGAACCAAATATAGGTATATTTTTTCAAATGAGACGCCCTGTATATTAATTGGATAGCTCTGCTTTTTCTGATTTCAATGATATAAAGTTCGATAGGTGTATGGTGTATTTCTATCATGTCTGTTTTTGTCATAAGAAAAAATATGTCAGAAAAGAACATTGGATTTGGGAGGAAAATGAGAAAGGTCTTTTTCTAACACATTGTTTCTTATGACAAAAACATTTAAAAATATATTTTGCTCGAAAACTTTTAGAGATAAATTCAAATCAGCAAAAGCAGAGCTATCCAATGATTTTATAATATATCGGGTGCCTGGTGTCTCATTTGAAAACAATATGTTTGGTTCATAAATCAAAAACTATCACTTTTAGCGAAAAATTGACTACACCACTGGAGTCTACGTAAAAATATCTATAAGAATCCGTTTTCACCTTTTCGATCACTTATGAGAGAACCGAGATACAAGGTGAGTCCCAAAATGTAACTTTTTCAAAAACACCTTGTATCTGAAAAAAACCGAAAGGGCGATCACAATTCTGTTGGCGCCATCTTTCGTTTGACAAAAAAGTAGTCCAAATTTGCAAAAACCGCATCCTTCCAACTCCAATAGCAATCGAGTACCTAATTCCTTATGTACTGAGTGATTTGTCTATATTTTGCACCCACACCTATCTCACCTGTTTAAAGAGATACTAAGAAATGTCAAGTGACAAAGTTGTAGGTAATATCAGAAAGTTTTCAACGAAGTGAATAACAAGTATACAGGGTGTATCACAAAAGTTTGACAAAGCAAAGTTGAACTTTTTTAAATGGACCACTCGGTATATTATTCACCCATTGGATTACCCTTTCAAACCTGATTTCAAATATACTAGGTTTTTTAGGTTTATTCCTAGTAGTCCTGGAGAAAATAAGAAAAAAAGGGGGGTAGATATCGGACATTGAGGACATTCACACATTGAACACCCTGTATCTCAAAAACTAGTCATAGGATTAAGTTGTGCCCATGGTAGTTATTGATCAGAATCAGAAAGGTTAGATCTATAACATACTAAAATTTGGTTAAATTTGACCGCGGTCAGAAATCCCATAAGAAGTGTGCGGGGTCCTTTGTGCCTAACATGTCAAGAGTGACTGTTCCACTACGAGATTTAACTCGGAAAGAAGTTAAATTTATCTGGTCAAGTGAACATGATACATCTTTGACACAACTTAAGCATTTATTGACAGAAGCTCCAGTTCTTGCTTTTTTCGATCCCTCATTTCGTATTGAAATAGAAACTGATGCGTCAAAGGATGGCTTGGGATCCTGTTGTATAGTGAGTTAGGATTGATTAAGTAACACTCAATTGATGTTTGGGTAAACCCTTCGTAATGTATTATTTATTCACAATCCAATGTCCAAAGGTAATGGATAGGAAGCAATGTGTTAAGCCGGAGTCTCGTGTATCCGTTATCCACAGTCCGATGTCCAAAAAACCCTCTATTCTGACAAAATTGTATGAAAATATGTCAGAATAGGTTTTTCTGACATTGGACGTTGGAAAACGGATGCATGAGACTCCGGATTTTTACGTTGTATTAGCACAGGTATTAGTGAGTTAGGGTTGATTAAGTAACGCTTACTTGATGTTTGGGTAAACCCTTCTTAATGTAGATTTATAGTTAGTTACTGTGGTGACATTCACTCAGGTATGGTGCACCGTAAGCTAATTTCGAAGATTAGTTTTGGAAACCTGTATTAGATATAGTTTTCTTATGCACCGCAAGAAAAATTCGTAGTATCGAAGTTACCTATACCATCAGGTTCATGAGAATAGCAGCATCCTGACCGCTGCCTGCGTTTTCGCCGTTATAGTATAATGCATGCTATTGTGAGGTTTGCTAGTCCTCCATCGGGCGCCTCCCCAGGTGGCGGATAGGGGAATGCCTCTCAGATATGAGTGGTGCCGGGAAAATTAAATACCCGAGACGGACCAAAACTAGCACTGCAGCGTTTGCCTCAGTATGAGCGGCTGAAAACAGAGTCTGTCCCAGAATAGACGGCTGAATCAAATCTTACCAACCCATCTGGCAAGCGTGGTGTTTTACTTGCCATTACCCCCCTGTATATACCATGGCGAATTTTCAAGCAAATGGAACTGGTCCCCAGGTGGGTGGGAAATTTCCCGACTCCCACACCTCTATGGTCTAAATTCGCTCCCAACAACAAAGATCAAAATCCCACGAAAACGACTAACACAACAAAAATCACAGAAACTGATCAACCTTACAATAGGAACATACAATATTGGATCAATGAACATTGACGAAAAGATACATGAATTGGAGGAAGAGCTGACAAGAATAAAGTGGGACATAGTAGGCTTGTCAGAAACTCGAAGAAAAACAGAAAATCGAATAAAATTGAACTCCGGTAACCTGCTATACTACAAAGGTAACGAAGACAACAGTAACTTTCGAGGTAACTTTGGAGCAGGATTTATTATAAATTAAACCGATAAGTAAACACCTCCAAACTATTAAGCGAGTCTCAGATCGGGTTGCTCATCTCGTACTTAAAATGAAAAGAACAGCGCTTAACCTATGACGACGATCGCATCGAAATATTCTATGAAGATATCTCAAAGGCTATGGAAGAACATAAAACTCGCCTTACTCTAGTAATTGGAGATTTCCTTGGAGATTTCAATGCCAAACTTGTTAAGAAGCTGAATAAAGAAGAGACTAAAATATGGGGTACGGTGAGAGGAACGATAGGGGCACTACCTTGTTGAACTATCTAGAAGAAAAACATCTATATGCAATGAATTCGTTCTGTAAAAAGAAACCGCAAAGAAAGTGGACATGGCTCAGCCCTAATGGAACAACGAGAAATGAAATTGACTACATACTGACCACTGAAAACTATATTATTAAAAATGTAACAGTCCTGAACAGATTCACAACAGACAGCGATCACAGAATGGTCAGAGCAAAAATTAGTATCGATGACAACTTTGAAATGAAAAGAAAAACTAATGGAAACAAGGGACAACTAGACATGACCAAACCTGCACAAAATAAAACCATATACAAAGAGAGATTGAAGGAAGAAATGACTCACAATTTGAACAGCGATAATAAAAATATAAATAAAATGTACGAAACATTAGCGGAAACCATGGTTAGGGTAGGAAAAGAAATCGCACAAAAAGATAAAAAGGAGGAAGATTGTATATCAAAAGAGACAAAGAAACTCATGGAAAGAAGGCGGAAACTGATCGAAGAAGGGAAAAGGAAATCGATATAATACACAGAAATCAATACAGGAAAAATAAAAGAAAACAGAAGGAAGAACCAAGAAATAGCAATAGAAAGGGTCATAGAGAATAACAGGAATATGAAATGCTTAAGACCGACACTAGGAAGATATGAAATAAATAAAATAAAAGACAAGAACGGCGTAGACTCTAATTTTAAGAAGGATATCATAAATATCACACAACTTTTTTATACAAAACTACATATATCAAACAAAAAAGGAACCACTGGAAGAAATCCTAAAACAACTTTAAACTAAAATAAAGAATGTCAACTCAGAACTATAGATAGATTGGGAGAAGCACTCAACCTACGAAGATTTCAATAGGGTCCCAGAAGCAACCTGGATTTTGTGTCAGATCAGAATTAGAATTAAATTTATCTAAGTATAATTGGTAACACTTTTCCCTCAAAACTTTACCACCATTTCTTAAAGATGAAAAGCCTACATAGTCCGCATGATTTGTCGTTCTTCTAAATTTGGAATGAGCAATTTTTTCCTGAACAATTTAATTTCGACTACACCAGAATGGAAAATTTGTTGATCTAAAATGCTTAACTGGAACAAACATCTCAAGCGCAGAATAAAGAACATTATAAAAACACCCCACGCATTTATCAATGTTGTCCGAGTCGAGCACATTATCCCATGACGCATTAAATAAATAGTTATTTACCGCATAAAAATCATAGGCTAGGTACCTATCGATAAGCCATCTAGTGCTTGACACACTCTTTCATCAATTCTACCAACATTTGATTAACTTGATCTTATTTTGGCTGTTTGCTGCTGTCATGTATTTACCATAAAATACTCTGTATAGGTTTATCTTGGAACTTGGTTCAAAATTTAAAGTTCGACGGCAAAGTCTCACTTTCCGTACATTGTCTAATTTCCGAAGGGAACACGATGAATAGCTCTACTAATTAGCTCAAAATAATCCACCAATTGTCTCATTAATCATCCCATTCGTAACACGAAATTATCACGGATTCTACGGGTTCACTAAAACTTTGTTTACTAATAATAACCTTTATTGAGCTAATTGACTTTATAAACTTATCGCTTTCATTTAACTTTGCATAACAATTCTCTTGAGAATAAACTGCAACTTACAAAACTACCTACGCGATTTATATACAAAATCATCAAATCAATTTTCTAAATAAGACCGAAAGGACAATGAATGGATAAATAAATATGCTATGGAATTTAGGAAGATGCCAATTTCTTGTCTTCCTTACAACAAGCCTTGAGGGGCAGTTGGGGCAGGACTCATGAATGAACTTTATTGAGGCGCTCAAAATGACAACTAATGATTTTAAACATAAAATAAGTTTTGGAAAGTAAAGATAAATTACCTGTTATAAGGATCCTTGTATTGATTGGCATCTTGTGCAGAGGCAAAACACGTGGCACAAATCAGAATAGTCCATGGTGCCGTCTTTTTCCACCTCATGCCAAATTTGTAGCCTGGAAAAGAAGAATCTTGTAAGTTTTATTTTTTCTATAAATAGACAGCAGATTTGTTGTTAATATAACCAGACCAGGCACTACTATTTATATAGGAGCGTGCCTTCTTAATGGGTATTTTGGTTAATTTAATTTAACACCAGGAGTATTTAGGAATTTATTAAGAATAAACAATTTGGGTCGAGTAATTAATAGAATAAATATATAAATGTGATCCAAATACCTACAGAAAGTCTAAAACGACTTGCCTTGAAAAAAGTGTTAAAATCCTTATGATAAGAAGCTTAAAATTCTTTATAAATGTTCGTCAAATACATTTCTTCATTCACATAAAATACAATATTATCTCATGTCCCAATTTTCGCGTCCCCACAAACCTATAACTTCAATCAAAACACCCCCGAGAAGTGACACAAGCATCCCATCATTAACCAGGATTTATGTCTCCAATCCGGAAATAAGTGGCCCTCCTCACTTATCTCCAACTGTTACACACGTTCACCCTCTTAAGGTTTATTGCTAATTCTGGGGGTTTACTTATAGGCATTTATAAGTAAAAATGGCATAATGGTGACTTTACTTCACTTGAGTAGTTATATACGGAAATAGGGGGTTGTGAAGGCACTCAAGTTTAATGTTTATGTGGTGTTGAGGGGGCATAGTTTTGGCAATATAATTTTCTTCTCTTTGAATTGAATTGAAAATTATATATAATATACTTTGAACCAGTTATGGGATTTGAATGGAAACAATCGTCCGCTAAAACCAGATCATCAAGTAAATTTTAAAATTTTATTGAGTTAAGTCATGTATGCCCCTTCAACAATGAAACTCTTTGTTGCAGGCTTGCCTTCCTCTTTACATTTAGAATACTTCATCTTTATATCATCAGTTTTTCTTTATTGCTTGATACTACTCAAAAAGGCTTGTTTGAGTCTTTGTGGATTGGCAGAGAAGCTCCTGATCCCCTTTCCTCTGAACGAAGTCCCTTGGGCGGTAAACTTTTCTTTTTTTCTGGATAGTACCACTGTCTTCGCCGAATAATGCGAATCTTTGCGATTCAATACAGCATTTTGGATGAAAATTCACTGCACAAGTTTGGTAACTTTGTTCAATTGTATTTTTTAAATATCCTCATAACTGTGGTGCACCTAACATTTTTCTAAAATCATATCTGTTCAATTTTTAACTTAATGTTAACTATTTAATTCGATATTTTAACAAATTTCAAGCCAAGTTAGTCAACTTTGTTATCCTTTTTATCAAATTATAGTATTTTTTTCACTTTTTAAATTTGGGTTTTCCCATTGATTAAAGAGGCTGATGAGGTATGTATTTCTTTTGATTTTTTCGCGATAAAGAGTCAATTGTATAGTGATGCGAGAGACCCCTAGCCCTCGACATTCTAATTTCCATAAAAGGTACCTTTCTTAGTGGAAATTTGAATAAGTAGAACTTTACAAACAACATTCTGGAGCATACCTTGCAGCATAAAAGTTTAAGCACTTCATTTTCAATTTCCTTATTTAGCTGCAAACGACCAAGTCTATTTTAAACAACAGTAGTTTATTTCTCAATACAAAATCCAGAGCGTTAATGACATTTAAAATAAGCAAAAGCCGTTCGTTAATTAGGTTTTTCAGTGGCCATTAACCGGAAAATAAATATTTAAAGGAGTGACACGCAGGTCAAACGCAATAAACGATAAGACACTCGATGAGGATAATAGAATTCGTTCCTAAAACTCGATTGATGTTTTGTTTTTGGCACTTGATGGGCTTTAAACTGGAATAAACGAGGCGATAAGAAAGTGATAATTATGCACTTTTATTGAATTATTAATGCGGAAAGGTTAAAAGTCGAGGCTTAAATATTTTTGAATGAAATAATCGATTTTCGAGATGAATGAATAGAATTTCTAGGAATTGTGAACAATAATTGAACTTTCATAATGCAAATTTTAGAGAGCCTCTGGTTGTCTCTCTCCGTCCCTCAACGTTATTTTTTTTTTCTCTCTCGTGTAACGAAATTTGTCAAAACGTGATGCGTCTTTCAGATCACTTTCCATTCTCGTCCAAATATCAGACCGCCGTCTAAGAAATATCACTTCAAAAAATCGAGTTTTCATAAAGGTATCCCCTGTAGCTCTTATTAGGCTCTAAATAGTCTGTAATTTACAACATTCCCAGATTTATAGTTTTTGAGCAAATTGAGTTAGAAGTTTTTGACAAAATTTAGACTAAAAGTCAACTTTGAGGGTCAATGGCTCAAAAACTATTTGAGCTATCGATCTCAATTTTGCACAGATTTATAGAGAATTTAATGCTCTTTCCAATGTTACATAATTTTTTTAAATTTGCTTAAAATTTAAAAAAGATATCGGCAACTGCTCATGACCATGTCAAGATTTAGAAAATTTTCTAGGATTTCCTTTTTAATTTTTTTTTGTCAAAAATGGATATTTGGAAATGATGTCTGGGTTGTTTCCCACTAATTTTGACCCGCTCTATCGATTGGTAAAGTCAAAATTGAGCAAAACTGGAAAATGAAAAAAAGCGAGTTTTTCATAAGGGTACCCCCCCTTCGAATTCTGATTTTAAAATATTCATACCACAATTGCTCGGTAACCGTTAAGCAAATTGCATTTAAATTTTTAGCAGATGTAGCTCTTATTTAGCTCTAAATGACCTGTTATTCACAATATTTCCAGATTTATAGTTTTTGAGCATGTTGAGTTTAAAATTTTTGACAAAATTTGGACTAAAAGTCAACTTTAAGGGTCAATTGGTCAAAAACTATTTGAGCTATCAAACTCAATTTTACACAGATTTATAGAGAATTTAATGCTCCTTCCAATGATATATAATTTATTTCAATTTGCTCGAAATTTAACAAAGATATGAGCAATTTAAGCAGAATTCCATTTAAATTATGATAAATGTTAAAGAAATTATGCGAAAATATATTGTAATTTCTTTTGGAATTTCCAATTATGGTACATTAACCATTTAATTTCAATAAAATATCTAAGAAATGACGACAAATTTCAAAAATGTTAAATTTTAGCAAAATTACATAGAAATTATGCGGAATTCCATTGAAATTACATAGAATTTCAAATAGGTATGCTAAATTCCATCAAAATTATGCGGAATTCGAGTGAAATTACAGGAGTAATGAGGTGGAATTCCAAAAAAAAAAAAAAAATTTTAGAAAAATTACATGGAATTCTATAGGAATTTGGCAAAATTCTATAGAAATTATGCGAAAATGTATAGAAATTATGCGAAATTTCAGTAAAATTAAATGGATTTAAATGAAATTCCGTAAAAAATATGCAAAATTTTATTGAAATAATGCATGCATTCCATAGAAAAAAAAACGTATAATTTAAAAAAAAATTACATAAGTAGCTTTCTATAGAAATCATGCAAAATTCTATAAAAATTATAAGAAAATTCAGTGAAATTAAATTACATAAAAACCCATAGAAATTATCTGGAATTCCATAACAATTATGCAAAATTTCATACAAATTATGCAAAATCCCGTAGAAACTATGAGGAATTTCATTGAAATTATGCTGAATACCATGGAAATGATGCCTAATTTTATACAAAGTATGCAGAATTTCATTGGAAATATGCCAAACCCATTAAAATTATGCGGAATTCTAGTGAAATTAAAACGACATAGAATTCCAAAAAAAGCGTTGAGTTTCAAAAAAATCAAAATCCCATAAAAATTATCTGGATTTAAGCTGTATGGAATTCCATAAAAATAATGCGAAAGGACCTCGCACATTTCTTATGGAAAATGGCTTTCGGCTAAATTTTTTGAAAAATTGAGATAATGTAGTTCTCGATGTCCTGATTAAAAGTTCTCATGGGCACAACTCAATCCTATGATCAGTTTTTGAGTTATGGCTTGTCAAAATTGGCTTTCTTAGACTTCGAGATATTGATTTTTTTTCAACATATTTGTTTATATTTCCTCCATTAGCACATTTAAATTAAAAGTTTCTACTCTAAGTTTTAGGCGTTTTGGTCTTCTTAAAAAGTGGTATAAATGTTCCTACAGCATCTTACACAAAATGGTGGCGGCAAAGAAATGTCAAATTAGAAAAAGTCGCAAATAACTAAATTCGATCAATTGTGTAGGATACAAAAGCTAACGGCTAGATTTTGCCCTATTTTCAATATGTTGTTATCGAAAGTATACTTAAGAATACCCACTATAGTTTTGGATCCAAAATGTTATACCAGGTGTCCATTTTGTACCAGAGGGCCCCGGTGTAGATGGTAAATGCCGACTGCAAGCGGGTTTCAAGTTCAAATGCTGTTCCAATGGGCATTATTCATTGTTTTTAGTTTACCGTAGGAATGGAGTTCAGTAAAATTGATAATATTGACTAAGCGTAAAAAACATAGAATAGTCTTATCTTTTCTAAAACTGTACATACAAATAGACCCAGAAATAGGGCCTGTTTAGTGGAGTCATTTCGATCTCCCAAAGTTAGGCAATGAAAAAAAATATAAGGGTTATTAGTTTAAGTAGATACGCATAAGTCTGATGGGATGGCACTCTTTATTCCTACGCTATATCTGTGAGAATGGTTATTTATACAGTTTTAAAAAAAGGTCACACACTCGTTAGTCATCAGACTATTTTATATTTTGTACACTATGGCCGTTTGCACCCACCATTCTAAAATGGGTGGTGCAAACGCCCATTAGTCAACAATATCAATTTTAGTGAACTCTATTCCTATGGTAAACTTGAAACAATAAATAATGCCCATTGAAACAGCATTTGAACTTGAACCCCGCTTGCAGTCGGTATTTACCATCTACACCGGGGCCCTGGCACAAAATGAACACCTGGTATAACATTTTGGATCCAAAACTATAGTGGATATTCTTAAGTATACTTTCGATAACAACATATTGAAAATAGGGCAAAATCTAGCCGTTCGTTTTTGTATTCTACACAATTGATCC